ACATGATGTTTCTGACGTAGTTTTATACGTTTCTAAGAAGACAGTTACAAGCAATATTTATATTACCAGTCGTAGTTGTTCGAAAAATATTACTGACGGTGGAAATCCCGCGTATTCAGCCACCAGTGCTTGCCACCAGACTGTACATGGTGGCTGTATTGATTTGTCAGTGAAAAGACTGAGTTTCATACTTGGGAAATTTGAAATTGTGGCTGCGAAACCAATCAATTTTTTTTCTGCCTATAAACACTGGCCTTAAAACCTTCTTTTATTTACATAGCCATAGCTGTTAGCACTGGAGGGGCGCTATTCGATATTTCTCCTCAACCCTCCCCCCCTTTCAACTTGTGCCTCGGCCCGCCTTGTTAAAAAAAGTATATAGAAAATTATAGTTTTGATCAGCCATCAAAATTTCCTGAGCGTTAGGCGCACAGCTGTTTGATAATGAAAGTTAAAATTGTATATGGTAAGAAATTTATAGTTTCGTTTAGCGTTCCTTAGTTGATCTGTATGAGATTCGTGGATGATCGCATGCCCGCGCCAAATTTTAGTTCACGAAGACTGGGCCTCAAAGGAGTGGCCACTAAGCTGATGTAAACATGGCGTCTGGAGGTTAAGTCGGAAAACTCCGGAAAACTCAATTAAAAACTGGCTAAAGTTTCCCGAATTACGTAGAAGATGGCATTGTGCACACTTTTAGCCTATCTCTGCGTAAGTGAACATATATTTCAAGGAGCTTCAGGTCGTATGGATTGGAAAATCTTGTTCCGCAAAGTAGCTGTGCAGGTTTATCCGAGCAAGAATGTTAGAACTCAAGGCGACTAAAAGGTTTCAGAACAGCCATTTGAACCATCATGTGATTTTATGTTTGTTCCTACCGTGGTATCATAGTGCAGCCATCTCCTGTCAAAGGTAAATCGAGGAAAATCGATAAGGCAATCCTGTTTTACATGTAGGGTTTCTTGAGTTGACGGACGGGCTGTTGGATCAGACAGATGCTGACATGTTGTTGAATAACGCGCTGGGTATTGTTTGTAGGTTGTAGGTTGAAAATGTACTAGAATGCTGCTGTAGATTTCTCGTTTTCNACATATTTTAGTTTTCCACTTTCATTTTTTATTTATTGTTATCTTATAAACGGTTTGATTTTTGTTTTTGATTTTTTTTTCTTTAAAACTTTGTTTTGTTTGTTTCTGTGATCCGATCCGTGATCCCATCCGTGATCCCATCCGTGATCCGATCCATGATCCGGTCCGTGATCCGGTCTGTGATCCGATCCGTGATCCGATCCTGTCCGATCCAGGTTTTGTCTACGCCAGTTGGATCAGACAGATGCTGACATGTTGTTGAATAACACGCTGGGTATTGTTTGTAGGTTGTAGGTTGAAAATGTACTAGAATACTGCTGTAGATTTCTCGTTTTCATGTGATCCCATTGCTGCCATGTTATGTTTCTCATCCAGTTCCTAGCATATATCTCTGTTTTTTGTAGAACAAATTTTTCAATTTTCTAAAAATATTATTTTTTTGGCCAATCCCCATAGAGATAACTTACATTGTTTGATCAGACCCAGTTTTACAGTCGTAGCCATAAAACAGTGAACACCTAAAATATGCCTGGAATGTTTATTGTGTCACGAGCAAGATCTTCAGCAAAATCTAAATTGATAGTTCCATAACCAATGCAATACATCATTTTCTGTGGTTGAAAATCTCGCTCATGATTGGTTATAACACAATAAACATTCCTGGCATATTTTAGGCGTTCACGGTTTTATGAGTTTGACTGTAATAATATCTTGAGGAGATTAGCATAAAGTTTGTCATAAAAAGTATGGTGATGTAAATTAGTATAATGCTCTTCAAACAGTTACTTTTTTACTGTAGGAGCTGATTGGCTGCAAGGTCCCCATGTGTATGCATTATTTTCCAGTTATGGAATGACATCCAAGCAGATCAACCAGCTTTTTGTGGTAGGATTTGGTTCTTCCATGGTGTTTGGTACAGTTGTTGGTTCATTTGCAGATAAGCTGTAAGTTTTTTTGTGATCTTTTGGTATTTACCTTGAGGATGGTTTTATTTTTTTCTGCAATTTCCCATTCAACTTAAGGCTTGATTTCCAGCCGTTTTATGAGCCCGTGTTAACCGCGCTTCCAAAACGACTGGAACATTTGGTGAGTTGAATTATAATCATGACATACATTTTCTTTGCCAGTGGAAGAAAATTTAACTGCATACTTTATGGAGTATTGTATGGAATGGATTGTCTTGCAAAGGTATAGTGCATGCTGTGTGTTAAGATGAATTATAAACAATTTTCAATTTAGTTTTTCCGGTAATAAAGAGGGATGTTTCTCACAACTAGTAATATTTTGTCTATTCAGCATGTACCAAGCTACTGGGTTTTAATGTGTGGTCGTTTGGCAGGAGGAATGGCGACATCCATTTTGTTTAGTGCCTTTGAATCGTGGGTAATTTGTGAGCATGATAAGGTACGTCAACTCATTTTACTCAAGCTCATTCCAGGGATCTTCTCATCTTGGGTTGTGCCATTAAAGTAATGTACAATGCATTTTAAATCATGTCAAATGCACTGAAATTAAAATTCTTCCCACTGGCCTCAATGAATTTCTTCCTAGAGAATTTGATGACAACTGAACAATTCTCTTTTATCATTTCCTCACATGTAATTCTAGACTTAATTGTACTCAAACTGGCAATAAGCCAATCAGAAGCTAAGCACAATCATCCTTGTCTACTTTCCTGATATCTTGCATTATCATCAAACTCACCAGATATGATGCTAAGGCATACCAAAAAGGTACATGTACAATTAAGTATAATTAGCTAAATGGCTGGAAATGAGGTGCAATTATCTTGTTGTACTAGTTGAAATTTAGGGGGTACAGTGACCTCATGGTTTTTGTTCTTGTCTCCAGATTGAGTGGTCCGGTGTTGTGTTTTTGGGTCAGGATGGTAGAGATTCAAGACGATTCAAAGTAATCAAGGCAATAACTTTTATTCGAGCGAGCGAGCAACATGCATGACACTGATGCGCATGCACACATGTAGGAAAACCACATGCAAACTATGACATCCCCCTCCTTCTGACGGAGATATGGTAACAGTAACAACNTGGTGCCCAAACTCGCGGTGGAAATCACAGTTCAAGTTGTGTACTCACGGATAAGATCCCACTTCTGACACCATGTTGTGTTTTCGGGTCAGGATGGTAGAGATTCAAGACGATTCAAAGTAATCAAGGCAATAACTTTTATTCAAGTGAGCGAGCAACATGCATGACACAGATGCGCATGCGTGCATGTAGGAAAACCGCATGCAAACTATGACATCCGGGTTCGAGCACTAGCTGGGGACATTTTGTTGAATGTGTTTGGAGCAATAAGCTTAACTCTCACAGTGTCTCTTTCCACCCAGGTGTATCAATGGGTACCAGTGAACTTAATGCTGGGGGTAATTAACCCCGCAATGGACTAGCATCCCATCCAGGGGAGAGTGGAAATACTCCTAGGCACTTCATGCTACAGAAACCGGAATAAGCTACGGCCTGATGGGCCACTTGGCAGACTTTACCTTTTCAGTTGAAATTCAGTTTATTTGAAGAGTTGACTTCTTAAGCCTGAGGTTGTGGTTTCTTTGCTTGGACTTTTTCACCAGACTTTATTACATCAACTTTGAATTCTTGAAGTAAATTATTCACTAACTACTTGCATTTGTATAATACTTTAAAATAACTTTAAAACAAATCACTTTTGAGGTGACCGACTCAAAAACATTAATGGTGATAAATCTATAGTGAGCAAGACAGTTGTGTCTCTTTGAAAATTGGACTTGAATAAAAAGTTCCCAATTCATTTTATTTCAGCAAGGATTTGGTAAGAGCTTGCTGACTGACCTGTTTTCAAATGCTGTTTTGGGAAACTCCTTGGTTGCTATTTTTGCTGGCCTGGTTGCTCAGGTGGTGGCCACTCACTATGGATTCATGTAGGTAACACATCCTACAAAACATATATTGTTATAGCCAGTAGGTAGTCTTAACTTTCAGGTAACAAAATATTAAATAACTGCTGTAAGTTATGTCAGTGGATAACTATCAAAGAGCTAGAGAGCTAAAATAACGGATTGGTGTGGACTACTTTGAAGGTTTTACATCCTGTATTTCTGGGGTCTCCTCATACATGTGACACCATATTGTAAGAACCTTTTGTTAGAATTCTAAGGCATTTGTTAGCAAGTTACTTCAGAAAACAAGGAAGAGATACGTCACAGAAAATCTTAAATGGGGCAGAGGATATTCAGTTTTAAAGTCATTTTTTTTAACAAGGACATGCGAAAACATGTCCAGTGATGATTGCATGCATTGTTCTTTTATTGCAGTGCACCATTTAGTCTATCATTACTATTACTGGTTGTCACAAGTGGAATAATCTGTTGCTCTTGGACTGAAAATTATGGTGATGTGAGTGGAAATGTCAGACTGTCATCAATTCTCCAAGGAATACAGGTTATCAGACATGGTTAGTAAGAGCTGTGTGTTTTCTCTTCTATTACATATGACCCACCCCCAGAGTATGCAATGACAAAGAAGAACACATCCTCCTTACAGTAGTAGAGTATAACTATAAAACCAAATTAATTATATACAGGGTTGGGAGCTTTCCATTTAGATACATGTAATAGAGGACTTTTTTTCCTGTTTACATAGCCTCATCTAAACACAAGGAGGGTTGGAATTCTGAATCCAGCATAATTCTCAAGAAATCTCAACCTCCTGAGTGTTTAGATGAGGCTATGTAAAATCAGAAAAAAAAGTCCTCTACTGCTTTAATTTGTATAATATTTCTCAAAACAAAACCGTGCGTACATACTCTCATCTAAACACGCCTATCGACCAATGATCAAGAGTGTGTGTAGTATTCAGATTTTTTTATAACTAATAATACTATTAATGCCGGCGTTAAAACAACCACGATCAAGGCTCAAATGTGCCACTGTCCAAATGACCAGGTAGAACATTTATTGTGCACAACTTCTTGGGGAGTAATGTGGTCAGACATGGAGTACAATAAGGGAAACTACATGCAGCAATAAAATCTGCACTACCAAGTAATTTTCATGCCCCTTAAATGAATGGTAGGGGAGGGGCTGATGGGGCCATGCCCCCCCCTTTTTTTCTTGTTCTTTCAAAGCGTTTTTGTAACTAACAATGCCAATCCATCTAACCATCTTTTGAGTGGTATTATTTCAATCAGGCTTTCCTTTTATTTTATTCTTGGAGCTTTCCTTATTGGAAGTAAGTTTTGCACTAATTGCAATCAACAAATGGAACAGGCATTAACTGTACTCTTTACATCACAAATACTCCCACAATGTTGTATGCCGCATCTCCTAAAAGTGAATTTTTCATTCAAGCGGGAGGAGGCGGGGGGGGAGGGGGGGGGGTTCACATTCGGTGCCCTCTTTCTGGATTTTCTGGATCTGCCCCAGAATGGGAATAGAACACATATCTAGTGTGTCTTGTTTTGACTCCTTCAATTACATATACAGAGGAATGTGATTCAAATCTTTGAATTTTGGTGAAAATCCCAGGCTTAGTAGCATTCAGAAAAGTGAATAAGTGATAAATATTATTTGAGCAATCTGTTTTAGAAGTCATGAGGTCAAGTACAAGTTCAATTAAATCTTTGGTTTTTCCATCAGACCCAAAAGTGCTCTGTCTTGGACTGATCCAGTCTTTGTTTGAGGGATCCATGTACTCTTTTGTTTTAGAATGGACACCAGCTCTAACTCCTGGTAAGTTCTCACCCAGTCTTTCAGTTTTTATTCATTTTGCCATTAACAAAGTAATTTACATTAATCCCAGTCAATAGCAAGCAACTAGTTCATGACAAGAC